TGCTCCATCCGCTGCTGCACCTCCTGCTGCTGCTGCTGCTGCTGCTGCTGCTGCTGCTGCTGCTGCTCCATCCGCTGCTGCTGCTGCACCTGCTGCTGCTGCTGTTGCTGCTGCTGCTGCTGCTGCTCCTTCTGCTGCTGCTGCTGCTGCTGCTGCTGCTGCTGCTGCTGCTGCTGCTGCTGCTGCTGCTGCTGCTGCTGCTGCTGCTGCTGCTGCTGCTGCTGCTGCTGCTGCTGCTGCTGCTGCTGCTGCTGCTGCTGCTGCTGCTGGTGGTGCGATGAGGCAGAGTGAGCAGGGGAGTCAGGGACAGCTGGGTCGTAAATGTCACCTGAGGAAGGAGGAGGGGGAGGAGCAGGATTTGGAGGAAGGAGGGGAGCCTGGGGAAGGAGTGGGGGAATGACAGCATCAGCCCAGGTGAGGGGGCGGGAGAGAGGAGGAAGGGGTCGGAAGGCGGAAGAGAATGATAGAACGGGATGCTCTCATCGAACACCACGTCACGGCTCTGTAGGAGGCGGCCTGAGGACGGGTGAAGGAAGAGGTAACCAGGGGCAGAGCGAGCGTGGCCAAGGTAGACACACTCAATGGCCTTGGAGGCGAGCTTTCCTGCCTGCCGAGAGCGGTCAGGTGGGGGATGAGGACATATGCCTTGCAACCCCAGATACGGAGAATGGCAGCATCTGGCTTGGTGCTAGCCCAGAGCTCAGTGGGAGTGACAGACTGGCGTTGAGGATGTGGGTAAAGATTAGTAAGGAGAGCAGCATGGACAAGGGCATAGCCCCAAAGAGAAGGGGGCGTGGAGGCATGAGTGAGGAGGCAGCGGGCCGTCTTGGTGATCTCACGAATGCGACTCTCAGCAACACCGTTCTGCTGAGGGGAGTGGGGAAGGGTATGAGTCTGCTGGATGCCATGGGTTGAGCAGTAGGAGGAGAGGGTGCGGTTGAGAAACTCACCACCGCCGTCGGAATGGAGGCGGCGGATGGGGCGACCAAAGTGGACTCGGCACTGCTCGGCCCAGGTAACGATGACAGCAGGGGCCTCGGCCTTCGTGTGGAGGAGGAACACCGAGGAGTACCTGCTGTGGTCGTCGACTAGGACAAGCATGTACCGGTGCCCTTGGCGGGAAGGGGAAGGGTTAGGGCCCCAGAGGTCCATGTGGACGAGGTCAAGGGGGGCAGCAGCAAAGGAAGGATGACTGAGGTGAGGCTGTTGTTTGAGCTTTCCATGAATGCATGTGGCGCATGGGGGAGCGGAAGAGGACGGGAGGGGAGGAAGAGTGGGGGGAAGACCGTCAAGCAAGCGGGAGGAGACGGCTTTACGAAGTGTGGGAAAGTTCATATGACCAAGGCGGTGGTGGATGAGAACAGCGGGGTGGGACAGTGCGCGACAAGAGCATGGGGAGGAGGTGGAGTTGGAGGAAGGTGGCTCTAGAGGGAGGGGAGGGGGGAGAGTGGAGGTGCCTGCACGAGTGGTCACGTGGCATGAGGAGGGGCGGGGTGTGCGGAGGATGTACTGACGAGAGCGAGGGCAAAGTGGGAGGCGATGAAGGAGGCGGCGAGTGGGGCCGTGGAGGAGGTCACAGTAGGTGGCAGAGGCGGGGAAGAGGGTAGTGATGCCAGCCTGTTGGAGTTCACGAATGGAGAGCAGGTTATGACGAAGGGAGGGAATGTGGAGACCAGTGACCACTCCAGAGGGGAAGGGGGGCAGGGGAGGGTGGAGAGATGAGTGCAAGGGATGGAGAAGCTGGAATCAGCACCATGAACGTTGGTGGGGAAAGGGAGGGAGGTGAGGGTGCGGGCGTCTTTGAGGGCAGTTTCAGTGGCACCACTATCGAGAACAAAGTCAATCGTGAGCGAGGAGGGAGCTGAAGACACGGGGTACTGGAAATCACAGGCATTAAAAACAGAGGGATACATGGAAGTGGAAGCAGGGGAAGAACGCATGAGCTCGCCTAGAAAGCTGGAGTGGGAGGCGGGAGCACTAGGGGAAGGAGAGCCCCAGAGGGGAAAGCCAGGAGGACCTGGTGTGGCTGTGGCAGCCATGGCGGCGGTGCCAAAGGCAAGCTGCTGCTGCTGCCATGCAGATGCTGCGGCTGCGGCTCCTGCAGCTGCGGCTGCAGCCTGACCACCAGAGCCCCACTGCTGCTGCTGCTGCAGCAGCTGCAGCTGCTGGAAGGGGGAAACTGCTGCAGCTCCTGGGGAGTTATGGGGTCAGCGACAGAGCAGGAGGAGGAGAGCTGAAGATGAGAGGGGAGGAAAGACGGAAGAGTTTTGACATCCTGGAGAGAGGGGCGGGGATCCATGGCAGACCAGCGTGGGGGTGTGCCAGTGTTGCCGCGCTCGAACCAGGCGTCATCATACGCCTTGAAGCAGGTCGCGGGGGGATGGTTGGTTTGGATGCAGCGCTCACCCGCCCTGGGACCAAAACGGCGAAGATAGGAACATGGGGGGAGAGTGCCAGGGCGGCCACCACGGCTACCAGATGAGCCACCACTGCCTCCACCACCACCACTGCTGCCACCCTCGACCCCGCCACCACCGCCGCCGGCTCCGCTGCCCCCACAACCGCCACCTCCACCCCCTCCCTGAGGGTTGGTGCGGCCGCCACGTGGGCGCCCGCCACGACGCGGCTGTGTGACTGCAAGCTGGGGGTTTTGGGACTCGGTGGAGTTCAGGCCGGAGGGGGGGTTGAGAGAAGGCGGGCCTCAGCGTCAATGATCCATTGGACCACAGTGTCAAGGGAGGCGCGGGGCTGAGCCTCAGTGAAGGCGATGACGCGCACTTCATATTGAGGGGAGAGGCCTTCGAGGAGACGGTAGATCTGAAGGTTTGGGGGGAGAGTAGTCTGGCGAGCCTCAAGGCGGGAGGCAAGGTCCAGGAGACGGCTGGTGTAGTCAACGGCGCCAGCACTATGTTCGATCGTGATGCTGAAGTATTCCTTGAAGAGCGGTCCGACAGCATCGAAGTCAGTGCGTTCGAACATTGCCTCAAGCTCGAGCCAGATCTGGCGGGAGCCGATGCGACGTGCTGGAAGTTGCGCATGAGCGCAGACGGGATGGCAAAGGAGAAGGGCACCAGTAGCACGGCTGTCCGCCTCGAGCCAGGCGCGACGACGCTCAGCAAATCGCGCAGAGTCAGCGGCATAAGCGGCGGCGGTAGCGGCATGCTGGGTGCGGAGGGTTGCCGACCGCTCGTGTTCCTCCAACGTGATCAGGTAATCAGTATGGAGCACGAGGAACTCACGACGCTGAGTAAGGAAGAGCTGCTCAACTTCAGCGGTGGCAGCGCGAGTGCTGGTGCCAACGGGTACCATGGGGGGCGGAGGTTCCTCGCCGGGATGGGGAATGAGAGGGGGGGGATTGCCAGGGTGAGGCGGCGGGTCCCCAAGGTCACCCTCTGGGAGACCAAGCATGATGTCCAGGAGGCGGAACGGCAGGACATAAGCACTGCCGAGGACGCGGTGGAGGCTGCCGACGAAGGAATACCAGTTGGTTGCTGAGTTGTCGGCAGCGCGCACGAGATGATCGAGGGTCGAGACGTCGACGGGAGGGGGAAAGGATGCCATTGGTGACACGGAGTGGGAGGAAGGCGACGGCGGGTGGACCCGCGGTGGCCGGGAGGGAGCGGCGGCGGGTGGACCCGCGGCGGCTCAAAGAGGAGGGGAGGATGGGGATGGCTGTAGATACTGCTGCTGCTGCTGCTGCTCCTTCTGCTGCTGCTGCTGCTGTTGCTGTTGCTGCTGCTGCCGCTGCTGCTGCTGCCACTGCTGCTGCTGCCGCTGTTGCTGCTGCTGCTGCTGCTGCTCCTTCAGCTGCTGCTGCTGCTGCTACTGCGCTGCTGGTGCTGCTGAGTCTGCTGCTCCTTCTGGTGCTGCTACCTGCTTCTGCTGTAGCTGCTACAGGACGTTGTAGCTGACACCAAGAGCGTTCTTTTTGCAAGTCGAATCACTCAATTCTGTCACTATCGAGCGAGCTATGGCGTTTGGCGCATTGGGGGTTTTTGAAAATCCACCCAACAGAAAACTAGTTGAGAGGCGGCGGCTAGGAGCCTAGCAGCGGCGATGGAGGGGACGGCAATGAGGTGCACGTCGGAAGGGGACGGGGCGGAAAGCGTGGGGAAAGGATCGGGATTTAAAAGTTGGCGTCAGCCATTATTGCTCTATACCATGTTAGAAACAGAAGGTTGAGTTTATTGATGAAGCAAAGAAAGGCATTACATAGGAAGAGAGAGATGAGCTAGGAAGGGAAGGTTGGAAGGGAAAGGGGGGTTAGGACAATCACAAGGGAGGGAGGATCCTTCCAAATGTGGTTGACCACCAGTTGGAGGTGGTCCAAGTGTGGTGTACCACCAGTGGTTTAGCCAACCCACTTGTGGTGCCCCCACAATTGTGGTCCTTGTGTTTGGGGGCTCCAACCACAATTGGGTTGGATTGACACCCCAACACAGGTGTACACCCAACTAGGGATGTAAACACAATATACACAACTAGCATAGCATGGTATATTCTAACAAAGTGGTGTAACGGGATCGTACTCTCACACTTCCCCCCTTCAAAGCTGGGTGGTAGAAGTAACACCCTGCTTGACAAGATAGTTATGAAGAGGACGACGGGCGTTACCCATGTCGGTCTCAGGTACCCAGCTATCCTTAGAAGGATCATAACCCTTCCAACAAATGAGAAGCTCCACGGTGCATTCCGACGATGGCGGTGTGCAAGCACGGACTCGACCTCGTACTCGGGTTCATTCTGGACGAGGACGAGCGGCGGCGGCGGCAGTTGGCGTCTGACGAAGATCGTGTTCGGATCCCAATAGGGCTTCAGAAGGCCGTTGTGAATCTTCCAGGTATCTGGCAGGCGTAAGCGGAAGGTAACAGAAGTGACCTCTGCTTCAACGAGGAAAGTCCTGCAGAAGCGAGGTCGAAGTTTGGATGGGAGATGGCTAATGTCAAGGTTGCGGATGTCAAGGAGCACCTGGTCTCCCACGGTGATGGTGTGGTCGTTGCGATGGCGATCGGCCTGGCGCTTTTGTTGCTGCTGAATGTCGAGGAGGCGCATGTGGGTCCGATCCCAAAGCTGATGCATGGTATTGATGAAGTCGTGTGCAGGTTGGACTGTAGCTGATGCTGTCGGTTTTTGTGGTGTGAGTGGGTGGCGTCCGTAGCAGAGGAAGAACAGTGTCTGTCCAGTAGCGGCATATGTAGCGTTGTTGTAAGCAAACTCTAGAACGGGCATGTGCAAGTCCCATTTGGAGATCTCGTCCTCGGAGGAGTTGCTCAATAATCTGGTTAAGGCGCTTGGTCTGTCCATCTGTCTGCGGATGGTAGGCGGATGACATGGCGAGTTTGGTCCCAAGCAGAGACATGAGTTCCTTCCAGAACTTGCTGGTGAACTTGGGGTCTCGGTTAGAGATGAGTGTAGTTGGAATGCCATGTTGTGAGATGATGTAGCGAATGAATAGTTGTGCTGTTTCTTCGGTGCGTGCTGTCGTGTGTGTCAGGATGAAGTGTCCCATTTTGGAGAACTTGTCGATGACGACAAGGATTGCGTCATGACCGCTGGTGGTAGGTGGTAACCCGGTGATGAAGTCCAGGCTAACCACTTGCCATGGTTGTTCTGGGATAGGAAGAGGCTGTAGTAGTCCCGCCTTCTTCTGCTTGCTGCTCTTCATCCGCTCACATGTATCACACGAGGTGACGAATTTCTGGACATCTTCTGCCAAGTGGGGCCAGTAGTAGTGCTTCGCAATACCTGTCAGCATCTTGTTGCTACCAAAGTGTCCTACGAATAGGACATTGTGGTATTCTTTGAGTAGTAACTGGCGCAAAGGAGGGTAATTGGGTACCCAGATCTTCGTTGACCCTTTCCGATACGCGATGTCACTGTCCCACTGTAGCAGATGTCGCTTTTCTGCCAAGGGAATTTCGGGGTCGATGGTGTACCCGTGTGTGAAGAGTCCCTTGAGTAGTGGATTCATAGGGACTCTTCACACACGGGTATACCATCGACCCCGAAATTCCCTTGAGTAGTGGATTCGATCTGGATGGCGGCAACGTGTGCAGTCCGGCAAAGGGCGTCTGCTTTGTTTTTGTGGCCGGGCTTGTACACAATGTTATAGTGGAAGTGTGTCTCGAGGAATTCAATCCACCGGACCTGCCGCCTCGAGAGGCTTGGTTGTGTCTTCAAATATTTAGGCTGCAATGGTCAGTGTAGACGGTTGTTTTTCGTCCTTCGAGATAACATCTCCACGCTTTGAAGGCGGTGATGATAGCAAGGTCCTCTTTGTCGTGTATCGAGACGGTTGTCACCAAGAATGCGATGAGCTGTGCCTTAGGATTTTCGGCAGGATGCCGGCAGGATTTTCCCTGCTGGCACTCCGGGCTGCTGTAACCTCTGCTGCAGCACTCCCCCCTGCTGCACTCCTGGCTGCTGCACTTCCGGCTGCAGAATTCCATGCTGCTGCACTCCCCACTGCTGCACTCCCCACTGCTGCACTCCCTGCTGCTACACTCTCTGCTGCTGCACTCTCTGCGGCTGCACTACCCATGACTGCTGCACCTCCCGCTGAAGATTCTCAACAAATCCCGATGTGGCCATGTGGGACGTGACATGTCAGCCCTGAGGTGCTGCAGATTGTGTGGCACAACGAAAGTGAATTGGCGACGACGGCGAGCGCGTCTCTAGGAAGCTACGCGGAGAACTATCATAGGGAGAAGGGGCGTGTGGTGTGACATCCGTTATGATGCTCATCCACGTTTCGCCGGAGAGGACCTGGCGAGCCCCCGCCAGCAGCTGTTTGTTCGAGTACACAAAGGCACGTCCAACATCGGTCACCATGTCATGCATAAGATCCAGCTGCTTCTCGTGCTACACCTGGTGAGTCATTTCACAATGTTAGACAATTCTTGCCAGCACGGCTGTTTGGTTGGCATGGATGCCGCGAGCATCGTCATTATCATAGAGCTGGATCATGGCATCACTGTCCATGCAAAAGGGATGGTATCAGTTCGCACGCCGCGTGTAGGCACACATCTGGCCGCATCTTCTGATGTTACTGCGTCACGCTGACCCCCTTGAAATGCACCCACTCGTGGACAGTTGTGAAGTCTAACGTCACAAGAGCCTTGATGTACTGGCATACGCACACCCCATACTCGTAATTGTTCTACTGATAGGGGATATAGTGCTCTTGCAACGTGACAACGACACGTGTTTAGTGCCCGGGCATAGAATTACAGGAAGGCAAAATGCATTAAGACACTTGTAAGGAAGCGAGGCCTTACCTTTACCGTTATGCACCTAGAATTCTTCAGGCTTTGCTGCACGTCAAACGCATCCGCGTTGGTTTTGTACCGCGCATATGCAAGCTCCAACAACCTGCCAGGAGAGCCAACAGACGTGTTTTGTTACATGCCGAGATGCGACATAAGGAGAAGCTGAACGACAGAATATACTGACTTCTAAGTCACGTCGAACAGCTTCTTGGTTTTGGTGTGAAGGCCCGCGTTGTCATAGAGTATTAACGCGCTGTCGCGTGCACATACCAACAAGTCCACCCCAAGTTGGAAGCAGCATGATGCCTCTACCACCATCAGAGAGTAGTGCTCCCTGCGTGCCATGGAAACAGCTCGGCAAGCACGGCTTGGCAAACTACAGTATATGTACCTACAGGCGTGCCATGGCGTCGCTCGCACATGTCTGTCGTATACCGAGATGAAATGTAATCGCACTCCATTAGCAGGAAATCACGCCCTTGTCTCGGTGCCCGCTTGAAGCTCCCGGCGTACGAGTACGCCTTTGCGTCCAGGGTGATCCGCGATCTGTGGCTTGGCATTTCCGGATGTTGTAGACCCAACAATCTGCGAAGGATTCAAGTACAAGGGAATCAACCGTGCACATGAACTAGATAAATCAAACATAGGCGTGCGCAACATTGCTGGCACGCACATGTTGTGGAAGTCTAGTATGGTGGCTGCCATGCATTTTCTTGCCGCCGAGCGTTGCAGCGTCCTGCCCCTCAACCAGGCATCCAAACCCATGATGGTTGTAGCACGAAAGGGGGGAACTTGATAATGGTTGCGATCGCATCGGTCGGCTCAGGGACGACTTCCTCGACTGCATCGTTGCCTGCCTTCGTGTCACTCCGGTCTATGATATTTACCTCTTTGAACATCAGATCTATAGCCACGGTGTCAGAATGTGCACCCAAAACGACGTGGAGGCTTTTACTCTGAGGCCGTCATTCTTTGGACACCGACATACTTACGACTGGTTTTCTGAGCAACGGCGAGGAACAAGCAGCTGTCGCCATGGGCGGATTCTTCTTCCTGACTTTCGAGCTCGTCATTCTTAGCAGGAGGCTTGCTACTATTTGGGGTGCAATAGAAGTTTCTGCGCTAGCTGAGCGCTTGCTACACACAAGACTACCTTCATAAATACTGCACCAAGCACTTCTTGCCTGGGGGATGTGGGGATGAGGGTTTGATAGGTGTGATGCGTTTATTTGTTGACAGGTGGCAAAGGCACAAGTTACGGCAAGGCATGCTTAACTGTTTTTGCGAACCTGATTTTGGCACCAAAAATTAAATCGAACAATCGAGCAATGCACGTGGGAGATGTCACATGCTCGGCATTGACGCTGCGAACACTCCATACATGAATACTCGAGTGACGCACATGACCATATGAACTTATAGTGAACTTCTAGTTTTTACGCATATTGTACTTGTAGTAATCGCAGATTTGCATGCCTCCCATACAGTCCCCAATGCGGAGTTTCGAGCCAAAACGAGCTGACAAATAGATATACTTCTCTGGTGTGACTCAAGAACTATCATGGGGAAATGGCTGGACGTGTTAGTAGCAATAAGTGCACACGAGACTATAAGTTTCATATGCGTACACGGACCTTCCCAATGCATGGAGGTCTTGCATTCTGGTCGTGCTCACGTCCAACGCTGATGGTATTGACATTTGGAAGTCGATAGTGATCATGAAGGACAAGACGCCGGTGAACTTTACTCCTGGCTTCAGCCCCTAGGATCATGCCTACCTATGCCAATCAAAGGACGGTCACTTCACGACTATGGTGCACTCTCAAGCATGTTACCCATGTCGTGTTTGCATGTCCTCAGCATCGCTTGTGCACCTCGCCTCGTTAACATCGTGTGACGGTTCTTGCAGCTGTTCACGCGCTTCATGCACAACTCCGCATGGATGCGAACACGTTGATACATCAACCAACGGTCAGCTGATGCTCAGGGAGATCACACGTCTCCTGCGCCACATCGTCAAGCTGCGCCTGGGATGGCGCGCAACACCAGCTGTCGACTTTGCGGGTATAGACGACGAAGATCAGCTGTCCGCCTACTGTGCATGGAACTCCACTCGAGCCCCTTCCCGGCGTCGCCGCGCAAGGGAATTGCAAACTTCAACTGAAGGCATCCAAGGAAGGTACTCCACACCACCGCAAAGGTGTGCATGCGGCTCGCGATTTTCCTTACCGTGCTGTTAGACCATGTCACCTACATGGGCAAGGGGAACCCTTTTCTGGTCGACCGGCTTCTGCGCACCCCAACCAAGTGCCGCCGAGTTGCAGCGTACGCTGACACTGCAAAGGAAGGCGAGGTCACGGATAACCATCCTATGTTTGAAACATTTACAATGATATGGAGGGGGTTGAAGGACGTTGCAGAGTGCATGATGGAGACTGCCTTCCTAGCCGACAAGGTTGTGATAGACATTTGAGGCATAGCCGTGTGGATTAGTCTGTGAGTGCTGCTAATGGGTGTCTTTCGTGTGGTGTGCACATTTGTTTCTTGTCACCGTCTGTTGTCTGCTTACGACAAGTTTATTGTGCTAAAGTTCACAAATATGCTTTATGTATTTGATTTATCTGTGCGCATACTGTAGATTGGCGATACATGTGCACTTATATGAACATGTTGGTTGGGTGCTCATTCAGTTACCAACTGCTGTGCGTCAGTGCAGGTCTATTCTTAATCGCTCGCTCTGCAGTTATCGTGCCCCACCATGGCACACTCCTCCTAACGACGCGAATCATACGTTATCGCATCCCAGACATTGGTCATTCGTTGACCAGATTGCATAACCTTATATGTCTCCGTCATATGCCATGAAGATACTGTACATTCGTGGCAGTCCACCCGTAACAATGACATTAACAAGTCAGAGTACGTATCTCATTTTTCCATCAGTTCGATTACGAGAGGTAGCTCCACAAGCCGACCTTTAGAATATGCCATTTGCGCTGTGCGATGGCCGGCATGGCTACCCTCCCGGTCGCTTATTAGCGTGAATACCATCCGCACCGATTTATTACTAGGTGCGAATTCTTGCGCTAGATGCCCACCGTTGCGTACGCCCTCATGCAAGTTCACAGTTGCATTGCTGACGACAACGGCCGCGTACAGTGCCCGTTTTTCCTTTTATTAGGCATCCAGACAAAGATGGATGCAGCCCTCATCAGCATCGCGCATATGCAAGCACGAGGTGCGCCGACAGCTCAGCTCGCCCCCTTCGTGTACCATGCTTATATTGGCCACGCATTATGACGCGCATTCGATCTCGCGAGCTCAGCACCACATGGCTTTCTTCCTACGGTGCATAGCTGATGATTGCTTGATAAATCCATACGCGACATCCCTAGCCGGCCTATGTCTTCCACGCCCGTCCCACTACAACTACAGAGACCGACTGTGGGCATATGCCAATTGTATCTCATACGAGGTACGGGGACCTTTGTTAAATTCCACTCGTGTGCCATGGGTCCTCCTAAGCAAACCACATGTTGTGTTCTCTCGTGGTGCAGGACAAAGCATTGCCCCCCATGCATGGAAGAGGTCCACCCCGCACCATATGCCTCCAACACTCCCACTCTGCCTCTTGCCCAAAGAGTGAG